CCACCTGCGCAAACCAACCTTCGAGTGGACACACTTTACATGGCTCGCGTTTGAAATCGCTACGCTCACTGCCTTTAAACGATTTGGGCGGAAAGTAGACAAGTGAATTGGCCCATATTTGTAGCCAGTAACGTTGCCATGAGGCGACGGCCGGCTTGCGTCCCTCCTTCTGCACAGTTTTACGTCGCACGCAACCCTGCACACAGCGGTCGAGATCGAGCGAGGGCGCATAGATCTGCTCTAAGTCGCTGTTATGGCAGAGTACGCCTTCGACACTATCATTCGAGGTGGCATCACCGCTACTAAGCATGTTACTGCTGTGCTCCAACACCGAATCGTCTAGCGGATGGCGTGCTTGTTGCTGCTGACTCAGTATGCTGTAGTCATGTAAGTGATGTTNGGGGAAAATATGATTAGCTGGAAGTGTAAAAATTTTAGTTATACAATATAGTGTTCTGAGAAACTATAAAAGTAAGTAAGTAACGCAGGGGAAAATGATATTTGCAATATTTTTAGAGAAGAATGTACAGCTTTGTTTGCATCACACGAGTATACAAAGATTCATGCAACGAGATATTCATATGTAATAACTATGTATACATATTTCTGTATAAAATACGGTTTGTAACATTTTAGCACAGAATGGAGGACAAATAGGTGAATACAAAAGGATATGGCAGATCTAAATTTTAGTATGATGCTTGTGCAACAGCGAAGTTCTTAAAGAAAAATCAGAAAGGTAGACCGAACTCTATAACGATTTTTTTTTGCAAATTTTGCAAAGAAAATCTAATGAAGGGCTTGCCATGAAAGAAATATCTGTACGATTTTTTGAAAAAATTGAAGTTTTCTTCACAGCGCAGCATTATTACACCGTTATTATTCTACATTGAACTGAATTTTTAAAATAATTTTTTGATTTAATCATATATTCGAAATTTCAAAGTCCTTTTAAAAGAAATCCAGACGTCAAAGAGAAAAACTAAAAACGCAATTATACTATATTTGGCCTATAGTTTCGTTAGCATATTGATTGTTTAAATTATCGTTTTTAATCGCTTGCCCTGTTTGGGTAAAATCTTTTAATTACAAAAAAGGAATTACTAGAATTTGAGTCGGGTTTCGGTCGCATTGCAGGATTTTTTCTTGACGTGGTCTACTGTACAACGACATATTAAGGGTGGTTGCCAAGCTGACGAATTGACAAGCGCAGGTGCATTCACCCACACTTTTCCGGGAAAGGAAGGTATACCAACGGCCAGTTGGTTAGTGATCGCACCACTCTAGTGGCCAATGAACACTGGAAAGTCCTTTCGTTCTGTGAAACTGTCAGGATTACCTTTAAAATCTCTTATGGGCCTCTGCCTAATTGGCTCACACGACATGCGACTAGGGGTGGACATAACCACATATAAAAGAAAATGTACCTTTTAGGACATTGCCCCAACCTTATTCATTTCTTTCAAGGCCTTGCATAGATCTCAGGTGAAAATAAAAGATTTGGCAGAGATGATAGCAAAGTAGTTTGTTCTCCATTGACCTTTTTAACATCGCAAGGGATTGGCAACTCCATAAGGTATCACAACGAATCTAAATTGGCATATCGCTGGCTTAAGGCAGTGTCACACGATCGGTACATTTGTACAGATTTATACATTTTTGATATTGGGTTATTGGCACGAAATAAAAAAATGGGACGAGATTTAATTTTGTCACACGATTGGTACAATATAGCGAGCTTCTATTGAAAAATTTGAACAAATTATTTTTCGTGCATCGTACGATTGGTATACGACTTGCATCAAATTTTGGGCAAATGCCCAATCGTATTACACTGCCTTTGGAGCGAAAAGCTGCTAATTCCCATTTACAAATTTTACAGGTGAGGAAAAGAACTTCTTGTAACCATTTTCTTTGAATATTTCGCAAGACTTTGAATGCAACATTTTGCGGGTTTAAACTCAGAATCAGAAGGATTCGATCTTTATTAAAAGAGTTCGTGTTATTTTGTTCTTATCGAATTTGTGGTGCTACTTTCTGTGTTTTCATAAAAATTGGAGTTAGGAGGAAGTCTATTCTCCAACCAATCCAACTTTACCTTGGATAAACTTAACAAACAAGGATAATTAAATATGATGAATATTACTTTCAACTTTGTGGTTAAAATGTTTGTCGTTTCAAAGCCAAGTGGAAATACGGCATTATGTGTTTCAAGACGTAGGGCAACATTTATGGACACAAAATTTAAAAACAAATATAGAATATTTTTATGTTATACATTTTCTAACAGGGGTGAAATATGTAAATAAGAATAGAGGGATACTAAAATTTGAAAAATTAAAAATATTTACATGAAAAGCAGGATATCAACAAACGGCAGGCATTGATTATGCAAAAAAAAAAAAACCTTGGCAAATAAGAAAAAATGGTATTGAATTTGGAACACGTACAACGGTATGTATGAATTTTCCACTCACCGACTGCATCTACAACGCTTATTGGAAATCGTGCCAATGCCAGGTGCGATCATCAAAATGGAACATTGACATTTGTGATAGAAGTTTCGTGGCAAGCTGGTGCTACGAAATCTGCCAACACACATGACAATATTTAATAAGGAAAATTGGCAATTAACAAAACAAAAAATTTAAAAAAATATATATTAATTTTATTTTTGGCGGAGCGCACATTGGTTGTAGATTTTTTGCACATTTTATATCGCAGACGCACGCGACGGTATT